AAAAAAATTCTTGATATGTCAAATGAATGTAAATAAAAGCTGCGTGCGCGCGCGTGTGTATGTGTGTGTGTGTGTACTACAGAAATAGTAAATAAATAGCTAGATATATATTACAACCAGAAATTTTAATAATTTATGATAGTTGAAACTGAAGCAAATTTTTCAAGTAGTAAATAGAATTTAAAAATTATTAACATATTGATTACGTGCTCCTGCATCATCATCTAATAATTTATTAAATGCCTTTAATAGAGCTCCTGCTGCTGTATGAGTTACATTATAATGGCAAATCCATCTGTCGTGCCATCTGTTCTTTCAAGTCAATTGTTTTCTTACTTTGTGGAATATCATACAATTCATCATTATCTGTTGAAGTATTATTTTCTGTTGAAGTTTCTTCATTAACATCTGATTCCACTGAGCTGACTACATCATTATTACAATCATCACTTTCACTTGTGATAACTGCTTGTAAATTATTTAATAATTTTACATTATCCGCATATTCTCCATCAGTTTTTGATTTTATCACTTCCTTCACAGTTATTTTTTCAGTCTCACAACTTGAACTACCAGGCATCTCCAATAAAGAGTCATATTCTTTTTTTATTCTTCTATTTTTTTTGACTCTTAGATAAGTTCTTGAATGATTTCCTTTTGGACATTTTTTGTACAAAAACACACTTTACCTGTAAAATTCAATGAATGTTTTAAAGATTATAAATAAAGAACAGCTTTTATTTATATTAACATAATTTGTGATATATTATATATATATGTAATAATTATTAACCAAGTATATAATATACTTATATATATATTATAATATTTCACTTATTTAGCCTTCAAATACTGCACTTGGTTACGTTAACCCTATAACATAACCCAATGAAGGGTTTTCCGATTAAAGATAACTTATTCTCTTATTTAAAAAATTAATAATATGTAATAAATCTTCTCAAGTTTTTATATCAATAAATATTAGTTATTAATTATTTATCAATTATTAATTAAATAAACTATAGTATAATAGGTATCAAAACTTACTTGTAATTAAATTTTAATTATAGGTTAGATTGCACTAAAGCGTTTTACTATTATATGACGCGCATGCGTAGGAGCAGTAAATTCAGTGAAAGTCATGAGTCAATCTAAAACTTGTCATAAATGAGATAACAAATTGTAGTCTGAATTAAGAAGTCTTTCTGATGACAGAAAAAAGATTTCTTCAAATTGACGTCTATAAGAGATCTTATTCGCAGTTCTAAAAGACGTCTTAAGAAAGAGTTCTTAAAGATATCTTTCAGCGTTATGTGCTGTCTGGTTACCAATGACAACTTTACGATATTGTAGCCACGAATAATTTCATTTGCAATAAAGTGTTTTAAAGAGAGTACAAACTTTAGGCTTAGAATCCAGAATAATTTTAATTTTTTCCTTTCCTAGATTACGTCTAGCTATCTGCTGCAACGGTTTATAGCATGACATCAGGGAATCTTTAATTTACTTTAGACGATTTTCATAACGAAAGGCACTAAAATTATCCATAGTACCATCTCTTGACATTTCTTACTTAAGTGACTGAGTGAGTGCACATTATACACTACAAAACTCTTTCCATAAATAACTACTGAATGAGAGATAAAAGTTCTGATTAATTGCTCAGCAAAGTGAAGATGAGTGCGAATAAGAGTAGAACTAGACAAAATGTACGCAGCGCTGTGTAGAAGAAGAAAATGTTTAGATATTATGATGAATTAAATTCTTGAAAGCAACGATGCCGTCATATAAAAGTATGCGACGAAATTCAGTGGCCTTGAATAGTTTAAAATCGTTTAGAGATCTCAGCTTTCGATTAAAATCTTGGGGACAGAATTTCCTAAGAAACACAAAAACTTTAGATATAAGATTAATAATATCTCCATACAGTTTCCGTGCTCCAATCACAAACAACCAAAAATGAACCCGCAAAACACTGTTATATAAATGTTACATTAATGTTATAAAACCGATTGTTACAATTAATGTTGCATGAGTGTTACTGATATGTTACTGATATGTTACTAATATGTTACTGATATGTTACCGTAACATAATTATTTCCCACTCATAAATGTAACATGTTATATAACATTTATTATGTAATGATTACATATCAAAGTTATATTTTTGTTATACTATTATAATATGTTATATGTATATAATATTTATAAATTTATTTATTATTAAATATATGAAGGGTTTTTTCAGTAAATATTTCAGTAAATATTTATTCTATGCATATTTAGATGTACATGTTTTATTTAATTTTTTTTGTACATTTTTTTACATTTTTGTATATTTTTTTGTAGGGATACGTTTTCATAAAAAGTGAGACATGTTATTAGAAACATAATTATAATCTTAATTGAACATATTATAAAGGTATGTAAACATATTTTAATGTATATTATATAATCATAAGGTCTGTTCTTTATAGCTGAACTAGCTGCATTGGGCTGCACTACTTCAGAGGTTATCCTTTTTTTCTTCATTGGGAGGAAAAAGATAAACTCTGAACTGCAGTCCAGTGCAGCCAGTTCAACTATAAAGAACAGACCTATAATTAAACATATTATATATTTATATTTAGAAATAACAAATAATATTTATAATTAATACGTAATCTATTATGTATTATATATGTTAGGCTCAAAGACCGAAAACGCTCACTGAACGAAAAAACGGATCACAACGCGTTCTGACCTCTCAGATTCAGCCACAACGCGAAATTTGCGTCGAGGCACTTTCCAAAACGCTCATAACGCGTTTAGGCATATTCAAAAAAGCCACAAAGCGAAATTCGTGTTCGAGGTTCTTTTGATAATCGACCAAAACGTGTTTTGGCAATGTAAAAAATGCCACAATGTGTTGTGGACGCTTATTGATGCAGTCATGACGCGATGTAAGACAAATACAATCTATCAACAGCCGATTCATGCACATTCTTGTTCGTTATTTTATTTAGCGTATTGCTAGAGTGTGGACGTTGTTGGTTTGCGTGCTAATTATGTGGTACGAAATATTACTTCAAGAAGTAAAAGAAGCTCAGTTACTTCGAAAAAATAAGCAATCGGTATCATCAAAGCAGTATCGTCGTATAAAGCGATACGACATCTTAAAACTTGGTGATACTAAAAAACTGATTGAAAGTGATTCTGAAGGTATGGACGATTCTAAAAATTCGCTATTTCTGTAAGGCAGATGAGCTATTTGATGTATTGAGGCAGCACATCTCAACGTGGGACATAAAAGGACAAAAGGTAGTTAAACCTTTGAAATTTGACGTTTATTGATACAGCAATAATGCTATAAAAATAAAATTATAAAGAAAAAAATTATAAAGAAATTAACAGTTAGCCTTATTAATCCTATAGCTCATACAATAAAAATTTAAAAACAATTAAGTTTCTGTGATAGAAGTTTTCATTGATTAGTATTTTTTATTAATAATAATATAAAATACTGTTTAGAGTTGCTCTCTTTGTGAGAGTTCTTTTATTAAAAACAAATTTGCCATCAATTGATCAATCATTTACAAAATCATTTACAAATAAATTTTTTTATTTGACTAAAATCTACAATACTTTTTTCATACGTAAGTATCAAGGATTCATAAAATAAAATAATTGACGTTATTTTGTTACAACAATCGACATTAATTCAATTAAAATGAAACAAATTGTCTTCTTGACTGAGAATTATAAAAGAAAATACAGTTATCTTTATTAATATTATGGCTCTTTTAATCAAAGAAGATTTTGTAATAGAAATCTTCATTAATTAGTATTTTTTCTAATAATAAACATTGTTCATAATATATATTGGTCCCTTTGTGAGAATTATTAATAAATTAATTTATTTTTGCAAGAATTATTATTGTGACATTTAGAATTGCATTTTATATTTTTAGAGAGACATTTGCATTTTTTGTCAATGCAGTATCTTTTACAGTGGCAGCTTATAAAACCTTGCTTACTTCCAGATGACAACATAAAAGCTGAACGAAGAGTTAGTGAAGTCAAGGATACGTCTTGCAATTCAATAAAGTTGCTCTCAGCAACTATAAATTCATTGCGATCATAAAATCGCTCAAGGAGCCCTTCTTTGGTACCTAATTGATAAAACCCTGATGAATTAATTCCGGCAACAACAGTTAAGACATTTCTGGGAGCTGCGCGTCCTCTATCAACGTCAGGCACTCTGACAGCTACACTAGTTCCAATAGTAAACTTTAGGAAATTTTGAATTAGAAAATGAAATCATTTTTTGTGCTTGTTGTTTTTGACTAGATTTAGCACATTCTCTCTCAACGCTGATACTGTTCTTCCTTATACAGAGCTTGCAAGTAACGTTCTGTCCGAAACCCTCATTATTCTCATCACTTTCTCCGCAAATAACGTGAATATATTGATGACATCCTGAACACTTGTGAGCTCCTGAAGTTTCGTTTTCACAAATCACACAATAAATTTTGCTGTCATCTTTTTTTTTTATTCTTGTGTAACCTCTCCAGCTTGAGGTATATTTTTATCTTCACTAGATTGTTCGTTAACTTCTTCTTCATCAGTCTTATCTTGATTATTGTTCTTTCACCGAAGAAAGAAGTTGTTCCAATTCTTCTTCAGTTTCTATAGAAGAATACATGTCACTGGAAAGAGAGGAATCCGCAAGGCCGATCTTTTGCGCTGATCCAAACATAGCCTCATAAGGACTTGTCTTAATTACCGAATGGAGAGCTCGATTCTTCTTACTTTGAATAAATCGGGTCCTTCAGACCATTTTTCCGTATTATTGTCAGCCATCCACGCTACCAGCATGTCACGAATATCTTGATTCGACCTTTCAACCGAACCCTGACTCTGAGAATGTCGCGGTTTACCATTAACAAGCTTCATTCCAGGCCACATATCGGCCAAACTTTTAATTATTTTATTTACGAATTCACGACCATTGTCGCTTTAAAGTATACATGAGGCACCGAATAAACAAAATATGTCTATGAGTTGATAGGCCACTTCCTCGGCAGTCTTTGTCTTAAGACGAAGAATTGTGAATTTGGTTAAATGATCTTGATAATTCATAATGAATCGGTAATCTTTATCTGGCTCTGACTGCATGTCAATCAAGTCCATTTGACATCGAGAGTTCATGTAGTCAGATAAAATAGTTGTACAACTAATCCATGTTTTGGTATCTTTTTCTTCAATTGACACTGTTCACACAAAGACAGAAAAAGATTTATTATTTGACGAGTAACATTACAATATTTCTTTTTTAGTTCAGCTTCCATAACTGAAACATAAATAAAATATAGAAAAATATTAGACAAACACAAATTATTAATTATTTATTGACTATGAAACTAAAAACTTTATTAACTACTATCATATCTAACATGTCTAACTATACTTCGCGATATCAATTTTGTGCCGAAAACATCTTGGAATTCGTAATATAACGTAAGTATGTATCAAATCTAGTTAAATTTCAAAAATGTATCTACCTCTTGTTCTTTTATGTCCCACGTTGAGATGTGCTAGCTCCAATACATCAAATAGCTCATCCGCCTTACAGAAATAGCGAATTTTAGAATCGTCCATGCCTTCAGAACCACTTTCAATCAGTTTTTCAGTATCACCAAGTTTTAAGATGTCGTATCGCTTTATACGACGATATTGCTTTGACGATAGCGATTGCTTATTTTTTCGAAGTAACTGAGCTTCTTTTACTTCTTGAAGTAATATTTCGTACCGCTCGATATCGATAAAAACACTCCGATCAGTAGTTGTTTTCTTCAACTCACTCAATTTATCATAAAAAATCTTCTTTTTATCAGACATGATTAGCACGCAAACCAACGACGTCCACACTCTAGCAATACTAAATAAAATGACGAACAAGAATGTACATGAATCCGTCGGCCGTTAATAGATTGCATTTGTCTTATATCGTCATGGCTGCATCAATAGGCGTCCACAACGCGTTGTGGCATTTTTACATTGCCAGAACGCGTTTTGGTCGATTATCAAAAGAACCTCAACACGAATTTCGCTTTGTGGCCTTTTTGAATATGCCAAAATGCGTTATGAGTGTTTTTAAAAGTGCCACGACACAAATTTCGCGTTGGCTGAATGGCTGAATCTGAGATGTCTGAACGCGTTGTGACCGGTTTTTTCGTCCAATGAGCGTTTTCGGTCTTTGAGCCTAACATATATATATATTAAACAGATATATTTTTAAATATTAAACTAATGTATTAAATCAGTATTCTAATCATATAATTTTAAAAAATTTGTAAAAATAAAACAGAATTTGTATATAATCTTTATAATAAAAAATTCTTATATATTTTCAAAGATCATTATCTTTATTTATTTTTGCATATAATACTACTTACCTCTTGTCTACTCATTTGTTTCTCTTTGCCTTGTTTCTCTTATGAATCTCTGCTTAGCAAAACGCTATCAGTCACTTGCGGCTTCATCAAATTCTTTTTGAGTGTAATTTGTGTATATACCTAACACTACTTCTCTCATGTGTTTTATGATACATAAAGAGGCAACTCCAAAATTTTCTTTACGATCCTTCCACGAACATTGCAAAGCACATTCATTTGTAAAAACTTGTGACATTGTATTTCTAATAATTTCACGCGCGGTATGACCACAATTCTTTGGACAAAAGTTTTATATTCGTTGATGAATATTTCTCCTTCATTTTTTAATTTTTCTTCCATTTGAAGAATTTCATTAATAATTTTCAAGGGTAAGTACTTTGTTACTCGATCTGTAGAAACAATTGGTAATACTCCTGGTGTAATATTGTCAATACTTTGTTGAATATTTATCAAGCGAATGTCGGATGCTGCAACCATTCTGTTTATAATGTTTGAATATTTTCTGTAATTAAATAATAATACAATAAATAAAGTTTTCATAAAAAATATAAATAAAACATTATTGTATTGATAATACCTTATAATATTGTTACGCCCTGATGTCCGTGTTCATCGGGACGGCGTCGATTAATAAGAATATCTGATTGTCAAGAGATTGTTGACAGCATCTGTCATTTGAGTCGAATCCCAGCTGTCAAGCTGTGCGGACGCGTATTTGTATCGAGCCGATCCGTATTACTAATATTGTGTATAAAGTTCTGTGGTTGCGCTTCGGTGTTCTGTATTGTGTATTAAAATTCTTAGTTCCCTTAAAGAGTGTTTATTTATTCCACGCGACTCGCGAGCGTCGATTTCTTCGTGCGCGATTTCGATACCTATCGAAGTCCTCGCCGCGGGCCGTAACAATATTAATTTATTATTATAGAAATAATGTAAATAGTATTACTAGTATAGTATTATTAATATAATATAATGTAAATAGTAAGAAAATATAATATTGAGGTATTTTACATGCAGAGAGTTAATACATTTTATTGATAAAATTGGATATTGCACTTATATATGTTTGTTAATTATTCTTTAAATTCAATAAAATTAATATTTGAAAGATCAAAATAATTAATTTTGCGAGTTTCAAAGATATTTATATTTTAAGAAATATATAATGCTTATTGACTAAATAAGTATTTTTAAAACATCTTCTTACCTTCTGTTTTTAATATTGTTGTCATTATGTCATTTCTTATTTTGCACATTTTTTGTTTCATTTTGTACATCTCCTGTTTAATTTGTTGCATTTTATGTACTACATTTTCTGATTGATTAATATTAATTTTGGACGAAGAAATTGGTGACTATTCCAATGCATTCTTCCTATAATAATTTCTTCCGGATTCTCAGATTTCTCCGGATTTCTCTCATCATCGTTAGTTTCATTGAAAGTCGATAGAATTAATGATTGTGAAAAACGATTCTGTCTCATCGACTTGATTGTCAGTATCTGGCCATTGTGATATTCAGGTTTTCTCTTTTTTTCAATTTCTTGCGTTTTGTTATTATTATTATCTGAGTCGCTGCTATCTTTATGTATAGATCGATTAGAGTTTTTTTCTTATAACCTTTTTTATTTTTGCCTTTTTTATCTTCTTCGGAATCACAATCAGAATAAATTTGTTTATTAGGAATTTTAGTTCTAAAACCTTTTCCTAATTGGGATTCTTCGCAAGAAGTATAATTCTTATCTTCTGCAATTTTTTGTGCTTTTTCAACAGAAGCTAAACAGTTGAAAATAAGAAGAATTATAAATAGAAATAAATAATAATAATTGATTTGCAAAAATTAAACTAAACAATATTACATTATCAAATTACTATAAGATATATTTTAATTATAAATGTGTTGTTATATTTATGATCCTACACTACAGAAAACAATAGAGAAAATATTAAAAATAGTAACATATTAGGAAGAGCAATTTGGAATTATTTTATTTTAGAACAAAGAATGAATTAATGGATAATGAATTAAGAATTAAAAATAATTAATATATTTTTATTCCCTTGTTTTAACTAAAATAATTCCAAAGGTGCACTCCTAATATTGAATATTTATTCTTAATGTTTTCTTATTTTTTTTTATTGTATGCAAAGGCTAATTAAAATTTTTACACTTGGTTTAAAATTGTTTTAATCTCAAAAAAAGACTCTAACTCTATTAAATTACATATAGAAAAATACAAAAAACTTTGTTATTGATATTGTGATTTATAACAAATTTATTAACAAATCTTTTAATAATAAAAAAACTACAGTTACTGGAAGTAATTGCCACGTCTGAATATCAGAATTGATACGTTTAGATATTAAGATGGTACATTTTTCATAATCGCTGGTGGCCACCAACATAAAATAATTATGCCCATCTTCTTGAAGCTTAATTTGTAGGCACTTCAGATACAAGTTCATTATCACAAAATGAAACGCATACGAGGTGTGTCAAAAAAAAAGGTGACTTTTATTTTTCCTCGAAAAATATTTATTTATTTCATCAATATCTATTTTGTCCCCTTCAAAGTAATCCCCCTCAGATATTATACACTTATGCAAGCGCTTTTTCCAATCCTCAAAGCACTTTTGAATGCGCTTTTTGGTATCGTCTCGAGCTCTTCTAGCGATGCGGTCTTTATCTCCTGTATTAAATTTTGTGTGCAAAAAAAATTAAGTGCTCTGACGTACTTGAAATGTTGACTGCGGCATTTGGCGAGTCTACTCTCGAGCAAAAAAAATGTTTACAAGTGGTACAAGCTCTTCACAGAAGGTCGAAAAGATGTTAATGACGATGCCCGCCTGGACGCCCCAGCACGTCAAAACCGATGACAACGTCGAAGCAGTGAAGAAATTGTTATGGAGAATCGTCGAATCACTATTAGAGAAGTTGCTGAGGATGTCGGCATATCGATTGGCTCATGCTATGCAATTTTTTCGGGTGTTTTGGGCATGCAACGTGTGGCGGCGAAGTTTGTTCCGAAATTGCTGAATTTTCGACCAAAAACACGTCGTTGCTTGTTCGTGATTTTGGCCAAAGTCGGCCAAAACACCGTAAACCATGCCTCAGTCACCGTATTCACCGGACTTGCCCCCTGCGACTTTTTCTTGTTCCCAAAACTGAAAAGACCCATGAAAGGACGGAGATTTGCCACGATTGAGGAGATAAAGACGGCAATCTCGCTGGAAGAGCTCGAGACCATACCAAAAAGTGTATATCAAAAAATGCTTCGAAATTGGAAAAAGCGCTGGCACAAGTGTATAATATCTTAGGGGATTACTTTGAAGGGACAAAATAAATATTGATGAATAAATAAATATTTTTCGAGAAAAATAAAAAGTCACCATTTTTTTTAACACACCTCGTATGCCATTATCCTAAATGTATAAAAATTATTGTATTAATAAATGTATAGATTAACATACATACACGCACATTAAAAAAACTATTCAAATATTATTATTGTTTGTTTTTAATATTTTTATAAAATGTATAATTATATAAATAAATAATATTTTATTTAATGAAATCTATACATTCTTTTATCGAAGTAAATAAATAATATTGGTTGGCAACTAAGTGATTGCGGATTTTAAATAAGAAGGAAAATTCCAAAATTTTTGCAAATTTTTTTGAATGCATGTATGCGATACATTGAGCTTCTCTGCAATCTCACGTGTTGTCTATGACGATCTGAATCGATAATCCTTGATATGGGTCTCATCAACTTCAACTGGACGGCCAGATCGTTGCGCATTTTTCAGTGAAAATCACCAGAACGAAATTTGGTAAACCAATTTTGACACTGCCTTTCTTTTCAAGGCTTCATTTTCCATATATGCACATAACTTCTTGTGTGCTTGCGATGCGTTTCTTGCCTTTTCGGAAAATAATACAATAAAATATGTCTGAATGCATCTTGTTCTTTCCATTTTTAAATTGGGATAAAAACGAAACTAAATAACTAATCGATACAATTTTTTTTTACTAAATTAAAGCGGAAGTCCAAACAACAAGAAAACAATATAGGTTAGGTGCTTGAACACGTTAACAAAGCAAAAAATTGCTAAGACCATCTATGACAAATCCGCAATCACTTATTGCCAACCCAATATAAAAAAATAGGTTATAAAATACTAGAAAAATAGGTTATAAATTATTTTGAAATTTTTCAAGACTTATTGAATAAACTATTAATTGATAGTTTCACATGTATATAAAAAGAAAATGGTTAGATAAGTAAATATTGTTATTTAAAAAAATAGTTTTAAAATATATAAATAATAAAAACTTGTCTTATTCACTCTCGTAAACGATCGTAACCTCGTGAAACAAAAGATAATGATACACGATACACACAGTAGCCGGCGCCACTGAAAATATATTAAAAAGCGACAA